TCATATAATATATGGTCTTTTGTAACTGGGTTCTTCTACTTAATATTTTCAAGATCTATCCATGTTGTAGTATGTATCAGTACTTCATTCCTTTTTTTGATTATACTAAAAAACATTAACATAAAATTTACCACCTTAACCATTTTGAATTGTATAATTCTGTGGCATTAGGTACATTCACACTATTATGAAACATATCTCCAGAACTTTTTCATACTAGATACCTAAGCCTGTATACCCATTAAATAACTCCACTTTCCCCCCTCATCTCAGCTCCTGGTAACCACCATTCTACTTTCTGTTTCTAAGAATTTGACTACTTTAGATACCGCATATAAGTGGAATAATGTAGTTGTCTTTTTGTGGCTGATTTACTTTGCATAATGTCTTCAAGGTCAGTTCACGTTGTATCATGTCACAGTGTACAAACATATACACATTTTGCTTATGCATTCTTCCATTGATGGACATTTGGGCTGCTTCTACCTCTTGACTATTATGAATATTGCTACTCTGAATATGGGTGTGAAAATATCTCTTTAAGACCCTGCTTTAAATTATTTTAGATACATTCTCAGAAGGAGGATTGATGGATCATATAGTAGTTCTATTTTTAATTTTTTGAGAAACATTCTTACGGTTTTCCATGGTGGTTGCACTATTTTACAATCCTACCAAGAGTGTACAAGGGTTCTAATTTCTCCACATTCTCATCAACACTTGTTATTTTGGGTTTGTTTTTTTTTAGTAGCCATCGTAATGAGTATGAGGTGATATCTCATTCTGGTTTTGATTTGCATTTCTCTGATGATTAGTGACGTTGAGCATCTTTTCATATGCTTGCTGACTATTTGTATATCATTTTTGAGTACATCTTGTACATCCGTTCAAGTATTTTGCCCATTTTTAACTGGTTACTTGATCTTTTTGTTGTTGAGTTATAGGAGTTCTTTATATATTCAGGACATTAGCCATTTATCAGATTTGAAAATATATTCTCCCATCCTTTTCACTCTGTTGATTGTGTCCTTTAATGCACAGAAGTTTTTTTCTAATATAATCTTTTTTTAAGTTTTTTATTTTAAGTCCAGTTTAGTTAACATAGAGTATTATATTAGTTTCAGGTATACAATATAGTGATCAAAACTTCCATGCATTACACAGTGCTTATCATGGTAAGTGTACTCTTTAATCCCCATTACCTATTTCACCCATCCCTCCCACCTACCTCCCCTCTGGTAACCTTCAGTTTGTTCTCTATCATATAATGTGGTCTTTTGTAACTGGGTTCTTCTACTTAATATTTTCAAGTTAAGAATCTGTTTCTTGGTTTGTCTCTCTTTTTTTTCCTTTGTTCATTTGTTTTGTGGTTTAAATTCCACATATGAGTGAAATCACATGTTATTTGTCTTTTTCCAACTGTCTTATTTCACTTAGCATTACACTCTCTAGCTCCATCCAAGTTGTTGAAACTGGCAAGGTGCCATTCTTTTTATTGCTGGAATAAATAAATAAATTCCATATATGGAATATTATATATGGAATTTATATACACACACACACATAATGGAATATATACGTATCTTCTTTATCCATTCATCATTCAGTGGACATGTGGGCTACTTCCATAATTTGGCTATTGTAAATAATGCTGCAATACACACATAGGTGCATGTATCCCTTGGAAATAGTTTTTGTATTTTGGGGGGTAAATACCCAGTAATGACGCACAAAAGGTTTAAGTTTGATGTAACCCCATTTATCTATGTTTGGTTTAGTTGCCTGTGTGTTTGATGTCATACTCAAGAAATCGTTCCCAAGACCAAGAAACAGACTCTTAACTATAGAGAACAAACTGATAGTTACCAGAAGGGAGGTGGCGGGGGGCAGAGGTGGGGCTCGGTTATAAGTGAAAGGGAGGGGCACCTGGGTGGCTCAGTTGGTTAAGCGTCCATCTTCAGCTCAGGTCATGATCTTACAGTTCATGAGTTCAAGCCCCACATCAGGCTCTGTGCTGACAGATCAGAGCCTGGAGCCTGCTTCAGATTCTGTGTCTCCCTCTCTCTCTCTGCCCCTCCCCCACTCACACTCTGTGTGTCTCTATCTCAAAAATAAACATTAAAATAATTATAAAAAATGAAATTTTTAAAAAATGGTGAGGGTGCGCCTGGGTGGCTCAGTCGGTTAAGTGTCTGACTTTGGCTCAGGTCATGATCTCACGGTTCATGGGTTCGAGCCCCGCATCCGCTCTGTGCTGACAGCTCAGAGCCTGGAGCCAGTCTTCGGATTCTGTATCTCCCTCTCTTTCTGACCCTCCCCTGTTCACATTGTCTCTCTCTCTCTCTCAATCTTTCTCTCTCTCTCTGTCTCTCTCTCTCAAAAATAAAAAAAAATTAAAAACTTAAAAAACGTTTTTAATTTAAAAAATAATAAATAAATAAAAATGGTGAAAAAGATGTACTTGTGATGAGCACCAGGTGATGTATGGAAGTGTTGAATCACTATGGTACACTTGAAACTAATATTAACACTGTATGTTAACTAACTGGAATTTAAACAAAAACTTTTTTAAAATGTGAGGTCCATTTACATTATTGGGAGAAATTTTTCAGTATAAAATCAGAAATTGTTTGAAAAAAATAAAACATTTTATCTATTCATCACCATTATAAAAAAAATCATTGCCACGTCCAATGTCATAAAGCTTTTCCTCTATCTTTTCTTCTTTTTTTTTTTCCCCCTCTATCTTTTCTTCTAAGAGTGATATAGTTTTAGGTCTTACATATAATTCTTTAAACCATTTTGAGTTAGTTTTTACATATGGTGGAAGATAAGGGTCCAATTTCATTCTTTTGCAGGTGGATATCTAGTTTTCCCAACACCAGCATCATTTGTTGAAAAACACTGTCCTTTCCCCATTAAAGATCATTTGACCCTTACTGAAGGTATTTGACCAAAAGTTTATTTCTGGGCTCTCTGTTCTATTCCATTTGTATTAGTTAGGGCTCTCCAGGGAAACAGAACTAATAGGAGATATATAGAGCTATCTAGAGATTTATTATGATGAATTGGCTCATATGATTATGGATGCTGAGAAGTCTCAATATATGCCTTCTGCAAGCTGGAGACCCAGGAAAACCGGTTTTTTGTAACTGGAAGTTTATACTTCTTAATCTCCTTGTGCTATCTTTGAATATTAACCATTACTTTTATTGAGCTATTCATAATCCCAGCAAAGTCATTCTCTTAGGATTCAAGCTGGTATATAACTTACATTTTCATGAACTACCCCAGGCCAGATTAGTTCCAGGCAAGGAGCCACCCCAGGGAGTTTATTGTGATCCTGTCAGATGCCGTGGGGCTCACCATCAGGTTCATTTGGTAGTTAATAGTTTAGAAGTGAATACAAACTAGACTCTCTGGTTTCACCACTTCTCTGCTCTTACCAAATATAGGTCCATAGATTCAGGATAGGTCCAGAATAGCTACAACCTTGTAGGAATATCTGAAGCTAGAAATTGCTAAGAAGTTCTCCTTTCCAATTCATTTATTACCTCCCTAAAAGGGAAGTTAATATCACTGTCACTATGGATCAGAATACAAAATTAAAAATCTCTCTGTACTTAACTTCTAAGTCCTGGGTTCTGGAAATCAGAGGCCATAGGTGGCTAAGAAGGACAATGCCAAAAACAAAAAACAAGCAAAGATACCCATTCAGCTCTGGAAACAATGGAGTTTTCTAAATTATACAAACATCTCTGTAAATGAAGTCCTTACAGTCTCTGGGGACAGGCTTGTCCCCAAAATCAAAGGCTATCTTTTCTTTAATTTTCTTAAGAAAAAGAAAAACTTGCTTAATGTAAAAACAGCGTATTATCATTGTAGAAAACTTGTAAATTTTCAGAAAAGTATCGCAAAGGGAATAAAAATAATACATAATTCTAACATACTAAAATAATAAATGTATTACATTTTCACATATGCCCTTCTCATCTTTTTCTGTTGACATGTACACATCTATGTTGACAGAGTTAAGATCATATATTGAATGTATAGTTCTGCATGTGTTTTAAACATATGTCACAAAAATTTTCCTGGTCAGTGAATATTCTTCATAGATATTACTTTAGCCTGCATAATATTTTATCATAAGGATAGGTCATTGTGTATTTAAATTTCTGTATTATTTACCTTTTTATTTATTTCCTTACTAATATAAGCAAGTGAAATAAACATGATTTATCTGTTTCCTTTCTAGGATAGATTTCTAGAAGTGAAATTACTGGGTAAATGAATAAAAAAATGTTTAAGAATTGGCTTTTTATGGCCATTTGTAGCAGCATGGATGGAACTTGAGGGTGTTATGCTGAGTGATATAAGTCAGGCAGAGAAGGACAGATACCATATGTTTGCACGTATAGGTGGTTTAGGAGGAACTTAACGGAGGACCATCGGGGAGGAGAAGGGGAAAAATAGTTGGCGAGAGGAGAGAGCAAAACTATGAGAAACTCTTGAATGCTGAGAACAAACTGAGAGCTGATGGGGGTGGGGAAGAGGAGAAGGGGGGTGATGGGCATGGGGGAGGGCACATGTTGGGATGAGCACTGGGTGTTATATGGAAACCAACTTGACAATAAACTATTTAAGAAAAAAAAGAAACTAAAAATAAGAATTGGCTTTTTAAAGAAAATAATCTTTGGGTAGTTAAAGGACTAATGACACATCAAACTGAACACATCTTTGATGCCTGTGTATCTGCTCATATTCAGATAATCTCTGCAAGCATAACTATTAATAGACTGAATCTAATCTTTCATTTCAGACACTAGCTTACATCTCTTCCTTCTGTCTCCAGCTTCTTGGGATAGAAATCAGGAGGTCTGACTGAGTCCATATACAAGGCTGGTCACACAGGCACACATACCCATCTTGTTTATGACTGCCTGTTTAAACCATTGCTCTCAACATCCATATTTTTTTTTTATATTCTCTTTTTTCAGATGGAATGGGACGAGTTCTTGCTCAAGATGTATATGCAAAAGACAACCTACCCCCCTTTCCAGCATCAGTAAAAGATGGCTATGCTGTCCGAGGTAAATATTTTGGGGTTTTTGAGTATCATACTCACACTGTATTTTTTTCCTTCAGATTTTTTACTCAGCCTTTTACATTTGTTTCCCCCTTGGTTATCAAAATAATTTTATTCACAGATAACAATCTGGATTAAAACTTTTCAGTGAAAGTATTATAGTTACTTGAAAATGCTTGTTGACAAATATGTAGAGATTGATCAAAACACTATACTATAACGTATTCTTCTGACCTCTACACATACTGGTAGCAGACAGTCTTGGTCTGGAAGTTGTCCAGATGTTTTCTAGTTGAAAACTATGTGGTCCAGGAAAGAAGAGTGGATTCCCAGCACAAGGATAATGTAGGGTGGTCTTTTCTTCTGCTTTAAACTCAGACATCAATAAGGGCTTCATAAAAAGCAAGCACAAAGGAAACCTCTAATTCCCTAGAAGAGCCAGATTTCACCACTCTGAAACCTTACATAGTACCAGCAATTTATACCTTTGGAATTGCCTGAGATTGCATAAAGGTTAAAAGCAAGATACTAAATAGGAATAGCCTGCTTAAAGTCTAATCTAAGAATCCAAAATGAAAATGCAAGTGAATTACTTAGAAACTATAATTGGTTATTAGTCAAGGCTGATATCATTGAAGAAATGTCTAAAAACATTTCCCAGTTTATTAGAGCTGTTAAGAAGACAAGTTCCTTTTTGGGGCGCCTGGGTGGCTTAGTCGGTTAAGCGTCCGACTTTCGCTTAGGTCATGATCTCGCGGTTCGTGGGTTCGAGCCCCGCGTCGGTCTCTGTGCTGACAGCTAGCTCAGAGCCTGGAGCCTATTTCAGAGTCTGTATCTCCCTCTCTCTGACCCTCCCCTGCTCACGCTGTCTCTCTCTCTCTCCCCTAGAAATAAATAAAAATGTTTAAAAAAAAAAAAAAAAAAGAAGACAAGTTCCTTTTTAATGGTTGTTGATGGAGTCTCTTACTTGTTTGTTGCTGCTTTTACTCTATCTGGCCATTAAAAACATTTCCTTCTCTTTTATAATTAAATATATTCATTAACCTCCCCCATGTTCCATCAGTGTCTCTTAGCAGTATCATTTTGTGTTGGAGGCAATATAGCAAATGATTAAGGTTATGGGCTTTGAAAAGCGAAGTCAGAGTTCTCTGGGTTCTATCTATGTAACTTTGAGCAAATTCAATTTTTTGAGCTTCAGTTTTCTCACTGATGATAATTATAATAATTCTTACCCCAACAAGTTGTTGTGAGAATTAAATGAGACTTTAGAAAGCCTTAGTAAAGTATCTGGCACCAAAAACAAGCACACAATAATTGTTTTTTAAATGTTTGATAATGGGAACTATTATTATCACTATCATTATTATAAACACATTTCCTTAGATCATCTCTGGAAAGAAAGATAACATTTATCTGAATTATTCTCATATTCTACATAAATAAAGTGGTGGAGAGATAATTCCTACTAGTGTATTCCTTCTCAGGAATACTATCTTGCACGTACCTCATTCAGCTTGATCCCACTAAAGTAGAGTGTTTCTGAGAACATGAATAACAAATCCCCAGCAGCTCTTAGGATTTTTTTTCTTCCAAATATATTCCTTCTACTGTGCTTATTATAATGAATGTTGTCCAGAAAGAAAATTAGTTCAGTCTTCTGATAGCCCCATTGGCTCTTCTTGTTTCTTATTCTCCAACTAAAATGTCATTTCTGTTTTGAACTTATGATCGATAGCCATATAGAGGATTACTGTAAAATGACAAAGAATTCTTACTTCCAGAGTAGAACAAACAACTATAGCAGATGAAATACCAAAGGGATAAGAAAGTCTATTTTTCACATTCTTGATAATATAACACAGAAAGTGAGAAAATAAATTATTTGAGGCAGAATTATTCTCAAACAGAATGTTGTTCTGTGATTTTTATATGAGTTAGCAACAGCTCAATAAAAAGAAACTATTGCTCTTAGTTTTTTAGTTGCCAAAAAGAGTGATTAGCCCACATGAACCTCAAAAGAGCCTTTCTGCTACTATAGAATCTACCAAAGAAATTTTATGTAAAATTACCATTCGATATCTTAATTTATTCTTTTGTTTTGAAGTGGTGGTGTTTTTAGTTACTTCGTATGCACGTGCGTACGCGGACAAACACACACACACACACACATATGAAAACCATCTATAATAACACCTCACAATATAAAAGGTTCAACAAACTATTATGTAGGTGATTCATATTCTTTCTTTCCCGTGAAGTGTTGCTAGTTTAGCTATCTCTAAGATACAGAGACTTAATACATACATAACAGATAACCACTGTTGATAAGGTTAAGCCTCAAAGTAGGAGTGTTTGATGTGTCTATGTATATGTATATATACCAACATCATAATTAAGGCAGCCGAAGCCATCAGTGAACAAAGAGGCATGGGCCCAGGCTTTTCTGCGTTAGAACACTCCCCACAAGAATGTCCTTGAGGCTATTTTCGTGGCTCTAGAGAGCCACTCTACTTCGTGTACCTTCTTCTCTCTACCCCTGTCTTCCTTGACTCCCATTCCTGTCTCCCTACTCCCTTTATTCTCCCTTTTTTCTTCTCCTCTGCCTTTGCCGTAGGCCTTCCAGTAATAACCAGTGGCACCTGTGGGCATTGCTAACCCTGTAGGTGTAAAGAGGTTGCTAACTTGCTCTGGATCACTAAGCATTAGCCAGTATCCTTCAGAAACATGTGGCATAAAACTCCAAACCAGTTGGAGGATCACTTGCTTTAAGGTATGTGGGTTGAAAATCAAGACAGTAAAAAATGACTTAAGCAAACAAGAAATAGGAACAGCTTCTTTTAAAAAAGAAACAGAGTTTAAAGATGGCAGGAATCAAGGGATAATAATATAATAGGAAGATATGTAACCTGATAAACCTAAAACTGCATTCAGGATGGAGTGAGGAGGAGGAGTAGTCGTGGTGGTGGTGGTGGTGGTGGTGGTGGTAGTAGTAGTTGTTGTTGTTGTTGTTGTTAAAGAGAAAGGGAGAGATTTATTTTGGGTGCCTACAGCTGAGGAAGGTGCCAGGCTCAAGCCTTAACAATCGACCTCTCCCAAAGATGGAGTGAATTTGAAAGATAAAAGCAGAGAAAAGAAAATGAAAGTAACATGTTACCAATTAGGATCAATATGGTATTTTTATTCGTATTTTTGAAGAGCTATTTCTCTCTTCACACTAATTAAGTGAATCATCTTGATGAATTTCTGCCTTCCTGTAGAGATGCACATGCCTGTCTTTTCACAGTTTCCTTGTAGATGTTCATGAAGGCAGAAGTACCTTAGAATACCAAGTTCAGCTTTCTTGAAAATTTTCTCCTCAATAGGCTTATCCCTTCAGAACTTGTTTTACAGGGATGATTTAGAAAAAGGCAAAAGAAAGAACAAGCCACTAATTATTTTAAGAACCATGTATAACAAACAATTCTGGAAGGATATGAAAAATTTTTGCCATTTGGGTAAAGTAAATTTGAAAGTTTTTTTTTTCTTTTTTACATCCTGATTGAAATACATGCTTATGAAAAGTACAGAAAATTAAAAAGAACATTTTAAAATTACCCTTTATCTCACTCACTAGCTACCATTAACACTTTTTGTACTTCCTGTGGGTTAAAATGCATATGAATATTCAGTATAACCTTTTAGATTTAGAGCTAATCTTGTTGTTTCATGAAAGCCATGTTCTAAGGTTTCTATTTCTTCCATCTAAATCTCTGGCCACAGTTGGTTTCCCATTCAATAACTTACTGCTTTCTATTATACATCACTCTGGATAAAGAAGAGAGCCTTATGATGTGGGAGTATTACTCAAGTGAGCAGAGAGATATTTGGATTAATTAATTTTAGTCAGTTCCAAAAAGCTTAAAATACTATGTTTAAGTGTACCCCAATGTTCATAGCAGCACTCTCCACAATAGCTAAAACATGGAAAGAGCCTAAGTGTCCATCAACAGATGAATGGATCAAGAAGATGTGGTTTATCTATACCATGGAATACTACATGGCAATGAGAAACAATGAAATCTGGCCATGTGTAGCAACATGGATGGACCTTGAGGGTGTTATGCTGAGCGAAATAAGTCAGGCAGAGAAGGACAAATACCATATGTTTGCACGTATAGGAGGATTAGGAGGAACTTGACGGAGGACCAAGGGGGAGAAGAAGGGCAGAAATGGTGGGGGAAAGGGAGAGAGGCAAACCATGAGAGACTCTTGAATGCTGACAAAAACTGAGGACTGATGGATGTGGGGGGGAGGGGGGGGGGGGCATGAAGGAGGGCACTTTGGGGATGAGCACTGAGTGTTATGTAGAAACTAATTTGACAATAAACTATTTGTAAAAAAAAAAAAAAATACTATGTTTAAGGATATAATATCTCTTTTCCCAGTATTAACAATGAATGAGAGTTTTTCTCTAGGAAGATGACGGTAAAGAATATAAAATGCTTTCTCACTCACTTGTCCTATTCTTAACTTCCTGCTTTTCCTAAGGAAAAGCCACAGATTTAAAATTCCAAACAACCCACCTGATTTAATACTTCAGTATAATTGCAGCAAGTATTAATCTTGCTGTGCTAGTCTTGTCACCTTCCCTTGCCCCCCAATACTTTCTTAATGTTAGTATACATATAAATGCTTTATCCTGTTACCTATCATTCAGTCTTAGTGTGGTTCCACAGTCAAATTCTTAGTCCCTCTGCCTTATTCTTCTGTCAAAGATATTTCCTAGGACTTCTGAAGCTATGCTGTCTCTATAGCCTCAGTTTATTCAGCCCTAGCATGGAAGTGTTGAAACTCTTTATTATTGAAAAGAAATGAATAGCTATAAAGTGTTTCAAGAGCCTTAAAGAGAGTTCACATATGGTTAGAAAATGGAAATGATGGATAGTTCTATAGCAAATGGTTCGGGAAGATCATATTCTATACATTGCCACAATGAATAGTTATCCAATGGTATCCATTTTTAAATGATATCTTCAGAAATCTTCATGCAAACAGGTGAAGAAGACTAAAAGTGTTTTCTGGGCATTAAAAAGGAAGGTAAGGGTGGGAGCAACTTCAGGGGCTAGCATTGAAGCATTATGAATCAGTTGTAGAATGCATTTGCTGTTATGATCTGATTTCTATTGCTTTTATCACTTCCTTCAAATTAAATTCTACAGTTACAAAAAAGAAAAATAACATACTAACAGGAATGTCTGAATGTAGAGGACAGAGTTCTAAGCCTCTACAGAAATCCTTGGAATCCATGCATCTTTACTAATGGCATATTGTGGCTTGCTTCCTTATTTAGTTACAAGCTTTAGGATCACATGCCATCATACCTCCACTTCTGCCCCTTCCCACCTAAGCCTATAGAATTCATCTTGAAAAATGGTAACTTTTTTACCTGTCTCTTTAATAGATCTTTTAAAATAAATATCAGCAAGTTAGATAGATCATTATTTTTGTTTTTATAAGAAATAGTGAGTCTTCATGATAATGTAAAATCAGGATTTCTGTTGTACTTCACTAATTTTTATTCCTTACATTTTCTTTAAGTCTGAATTTGTCTATATCCAGTTCAATCTTAGAGTGCCCTGCTCCTCAAAAAAGGTAGTTCAGGAACCAGCACCATCCACATCAGCTTGTTAGAAATGTAGAACCTCAAGCCTTATCCCAGACCTACTAAATCAGAAACCATATTTTAACAAGATCTGCAGGTGATTTGTACATACTTTAAGGGTTGAGAAGCACTGTTATAAAGGAAATAATAAAAGCAACTTCTCTCTTGCCACCAAGAACCTTCTATAATGTGGTTTGACTGAGCCTTCTTTAGCTAGCAATATAGACACATGTTTCCCAGATAGAAATTTTCAGGGCAAAGTGAAGAACAAAGTTTAAGTGAGCACATATTCTCTGCAGTCAGTGCACTTTCCCTGCTGCTTAGAATCATTTCAGGACTCTTTCAGTTGTTGGTCTTCTTGACACTCTATTGCAGGCTTGCCCAAATGATCTCCAACCACTCATTATTCAGTGACATTTATTTGGAGTATTTGTGTATAACATTGATCTAAGGAATTTTGAGTGTAGGTGTATTTGCACATGTGGAGAACAGGAGACAGGAAGAAAGTTGAAGAGCAGAGGGTTTCAAAAAGAAATAAAGGAAATTATCCCCATCTATTAGATAATCTCAACATTAGAAAAAAAAATTTTAATAAAAGGGGGGCACCTGGGTGGCTCAGTGGGTTAAGCATCCAACATCAGCTCAGGTCATAATCTCACAGTTCATAAGTTCAAGCCCCGTATCAGGCTTTGTGCTGATAGGTCGAAGCCTGGAGCCTACTTCAGATTCTGTGTCTCCCTCTCTCTCTGCCCCTCCCTTGCTCATGCTCTGGCTCTCTCTCTCAAAAATAAATAGCATTAAAAATTTTTTTTAAAGAAGCTCATAATCTCAGTGAAGAAATAAAGTATGCACATTTATGAAATTATTCAAGAAAATTTCAAAAACATTATTCTAATGTGTACAAATCAGTTTACAAACTTCCCCCCTAAGTTTTATGGAAATGCCAAATTCATTTCTTTATTCTTTTAACAAATATTTATTGAAAATCAATGATAAGCTAGGCACTATGCTAGACAGAATAGCAACATGATCTAAGTTATTGTATAAAAATTAACCGGAGCAGTCTTTCTAAACATTCTTTTTTTTAATTATAGTTTATTGTCAAGTTGTTTCCATTTTTTTAATATAGTTTATTGTCATAAACATTCTTAATAGATGGTGAAAATTGACTTACATTTGAGAACTGTATACATGGAACAGCAGAAAATGGAAGGCATTCAAAATAAAGCATTTGGATTATTTTTTTGAGAGAGAAAGAGAGAGTGCATGTGCCAACTGAGCCACCCAGGTGCCCCCAAAATACAGCATTTTGTGTCAAAAAATATTATTTATTTATTCATTTATGCATGCATCTTTCTAAAAAGATTTTTATAAGCCATACTCTTTCATTTATTAAACATTTTAATACTTCATATATTGAAAACTTATTGAATACCTATTATGCAGCAAGTGCTAGGGATTCCCCTGGAAAAATAAGCAAATAACTGCAAAAAATTAGGAAGCCATAAATTAGAATAATTTAGGGAATACCCTGGGGAAACAAAAGAAAATGTAGCTGACTCTTAAAGGAAGAGGAGTCAAATATGATTTCATAGAGAAGGGACACTTGAGCTGAGTCTTAAAGGCTAAGAAGCCTTTAATTAGAAAGCACAGAAAGGAAAAGGATACTCCAAGCAATGGAAATAGCATATAATAATGGAGCTAAAATATGAATCATCTTAGTACTCTCAGGGAGCTACAGTTCTAGAAATTGAAAGTGGCTAGAGTGTAAGATCTAAGGAGGGTATGAATCAGAGGCCTTGGCACACAGGTGAAGGTCTTTAGATGGAGCATTTCCGCTCATTTTTCTCCCCCTGCCACACACACACCCTTTCTGCCTACCTACCTTATCTGCCTCCTCCATTACATCTGTGGCTTTAACTATACCCATAGAAAGACACACACTAAATACATTATACACACGTATATAACATACATACATATAAATGTACATATGCACATATATATAAACAAATATAAGTTTCATGAAACAATATGATTCATCCTTACCATGTGTGATGAAATATATTGCTATTCATTCTCATTTTTAAAAATATTTGCAAATGCCACCCAGATGCCCCTGTCAGCTAAGCGTCTGACTCCAGCTCAGGTCATGATCTCACAGGCCTGTGAGTTCAAGCCACATCGGTTCTCTGCTCTCAGCGCGGAGCCTGCTTCAGTTCCTGTCTCCCTCTCTCTCTGCCCCTCTCAATCTTGTGCTTTCCCTCTGTCTCAAAAATAAATGAAAACACCAAAAAAATTATTTACAAGTTTATATTACAGCCCGCCCTCCACATTTTATTTGAACGTTGCCATAAATTGGCATTGCATTAGAATAGAAACCATATCTGGTTTTACTCCACTCTGTCCCACCACCTAATATGACACTTAAGGCCTAGAATATACTCAGTAGAAATTCAGTGAATGAATGAAAGGAATAAACCGCTTTAAAAGACATTATTTTTAAAGTATGATTATTCCAATTTTTTCAACAAGAAAACTGAAGTTTAGAGAAAGGCTTAATAATTTGCTCAAAGTCCTGAGGCTAATAATGGGCAGAACTAGGATTTAGATGCAGCTATGCTTTACTCTAAAACACAACTAACTTCCCCTTGTGCAAGAAGGAAAAAGAGAAAATATCTAGGTTGCTTATGCTAGGTGGCAACCTGAGAATATCTCTAGTAGAAAAATAACTTTAAAATAAATTTATTCACCCTTGAGATGTAGTTAGTGTGGAATTCTGAAAGATAATTGACTTAATTTTCTTCAATAAGAAAATCAAAATTCACTTAACATACTGTATAAATAAATGGAGAGAATAGATGAAATAAGATTGCTAAAATGTTGGTAGTTGTGTAAACAGTGATTTTATGTCTATTTTAAATTGTTCATTTAAAAAAATTTAAACACAAAAGCAGCATAAGAATTGCATTGCAGGAAAGCTATTCTTGTTTTTCAAATGAACACTGAAAATACAATAGGATTCTAAAAAACACAAGAAACCTAAGAGTTTATTAACTAAGATAATGTCTATAAAGCACAAGATACGACATCTAGTACTTTAAGAAAATGTTAATTTTTGTTCCTCTCTACAACAGGTTAACCAAATCCATGCAAAAAAAAGTGACTCGTTATAAACAGTATTATATATAAGCCTTTAGAAAAATACCACTTTGTAGTCACATAAAAAAAGTGAATTTCATATGTCCTTTTTAAAAGAAATACTTTTTATTATCAGCATGATTGCAAATATAATTAAAATATTCATATAGAAAGTGTTAACTTTTCTGTGTATGTGTCAGCAAATGTAATGCAGAACTGCTTATATATTATGATTTAGAAATAGCATTTTGGCCCATTATTTAAAAAAATAATAAATATATATATATATATATATATATATATATATATGTATGTATACACACACACACACACACACACACAGGGTGCCTGGGTGACCCAGTCAGTAAAGCATCTGACTCTTGGTTTCAGCTCAGGTCATGATCTCATGGTTCATGAGTTCCAGCCCCGCATCAGGCCCCATGCTGACAGAGCAGATGGGGCTTGGGATTTTCTCTCACCCTCTTACTCTCTCTGCCCCTCCCATGTGTGTTCCCTCCCTCTGTCCCTCTCTCTCTGTCTCTCTCAAAATAAATAAATAAACTTTAAAAAAATACTATATTGGGAATTAAGGGACTGTGTTTTAGTCCTGGCTCTGCCACTAACCAAACCTTGTTCAACCTAAGTCCCTTCGTTCTGTGACTCATTTCCTTCAAATGTCAGATAAAAAAAGAATATATGTTCTTTCTACTTGGCTGAGTTACTATAAAGTAACTGAGTGATAAATAAGAAAATAGTATGAAATAGTTTAAAATTTTTAGAAAATGGTGAAATATGAATGTAAATAGTAATATATATGTATAGATTGATATATCCATGATAGTGTACACATATATCATACATACATACCTATAGAAACAGTGGTATTTATTTAGGAGGACAGGCTAGAAGGAATAGTTTTATTCAAAAAACACAAATATGGGCATTATGGAGCAACAGAATGACCAACTCCAATGATGTCAAGAAAGGGCACGATTAGGATCACTTCTACTGGTACTTGTGAGTGGTGGATACCAAAGATCAAACCAGTAGTAACAAAGCTATTATCTGGTCTAGGAGATCAGAAAAGTATTATACTTTCCTGAAGCCTTATCTCATCATTTGAGTCAAATTTTAGAATCCAACACTAGATCCTTATTCCTTGCTATAGGACCATTTTGATGTTTGTTCTGGTTCTGTTTACCTCACAGCTGCCGATGGCCCAGGAGATCGTTTCATCATTGGAGAATCCCAAGCTGGTGAACAGGTGAGATTCATAGGCCTGAAAGGCCCTAAAGATTTCAGTTTTATGGACTTTTAGCATTGAATTTTAATCTATCATCTTGTAATGGAAATCTTAGCAGTGGATTAGATAGGTTATCAAAGAGATTAAAGGATGGTTCCCATGAGAAAGAGACAAAAGAATTACTTTTTAACTGAAAGAATCTGCACCCATTGATATATGGCATGGTATCATTGGTATATCTCACAGACATGCCCCACAAACATTTTCCAGTCCTGTGATTGGATTATTCTTCCTGTAAAAACATCAATGTTGTTAATAGAGCTACAGTTTCTAGATGGTCTTCTTAGAGTTTTCTCCAACTTGTATTACAAACAGAGAAAATTAGAGGCAACAAATTATTTAACCTCTCTAGCTAATCATTTAAATTAGTTTTTCTCATTAGGGAGCTAGCCAGTGAATAGGTATACATGCATTTCTTTTAAGAAAAGGAAGCACTAATGGGTCATAATGAAGTACAATAGAAGTCCTCTTATATAATGCTTCTGTGACTAGTAATTGGCCATTTAATTGGAAATAAGTGGGAAATGATTGTATATTTTTAAATAAACATGAATTTAACTAAAATAAATGAACATTTACTTGTCAGTAATTTGATGGAAAGCCAAGGCTTTTCTTTTAATAAATATCTATTTGAATTTCTATCTGGTCTTTCGTACATAAATAACACCCAAAAGTATTATATGTGATTTCCAGTTTGGGTCTTTAAAGTGGAAAAAATTCAAGGACATTTGCAAATTATCTAAGTACAGAATCCTTTTTGGTTTTTATTATATTTTTGCAGTTTTTTTACTGCCACTTCACCCACACCTAATCTGACAGTTGTTTTTAAGCAAAAATTTTTAATTGAGTTTTAACAAAGGTTTAACTTGAATTTTTATAGGAAAAAACTCTTTTCACACTCATATTGCATTGATTTACATATTTAATTAAACTACATAATCCAGTAGCAACTATTGGCACAAACAAGTTTAGGAAGAAACTCATCTGAACTGTAAAGCTGTAGTTTACAATTATACAAGAGTCTAACAGCTTCAAACTTAAATAGTGCTGCAAGCACCATTATGTTTAAGAGGAAATAGAGAGCATATGTTAATCTAGTGAGTTTTGGAGGTTGGTTAAAAGAGTTCCTACCTTATTAAATAGAACCAGAAGACCAATGTACTTTTTTCCTCTACTATTACCAAGCACTCGTAAGGATTACATAAAAATAAAGGAGGAAATGAATGAATGAATGAATGTTGCAGCTTGGACAAAAGATATGTCCCATACCTTTTCTTCCTTGGCTTATTATGTACTCCCATATATACTGAAAATAGGGAGGAATTGAGAAAGTATATAGGAGAAAGATGGTACCAGTGGTGGTGACGCTAGCCTCCTCATCCCTACATTCAAGCATTGAGAACTGCATACAGATCTCTGACACCAAGCCTGGCACTATAGTGATTAGATGCTGTACACAGGCTGGTTTTAGTCCCCATGACTGTTTTCCTGACAAAAAGAACAGCTAGGCCCAGATCCTTTTTTTATAAATGACTGTTATTTTGAACTCAGAATCTGACTTCTTGTTACACATTTTATTCAGTGCTGGATGTCTAAAGCATCCATTTTTATAACAAAGCCACAAAGTACCAGTTATTCTAGGTCTCTCATCTTCAATTGAGTCAATTCAACAAATGTTGAATCAAACATACCTACTATGTGTACCAGGCACTGTGTTGGGTTCTAGGTATATGAGGTAGATTAAGATATGATTGCTACTCTTAAGGAGTTTACATCCAGGGAGAAGACAGGATATAAACTAAATATAATATAATATATATTAAGTGCTAAACTGATGCTATCAGTCATGTACTGTGGAGCATAATAGAGAGGTTGAGCATTTCATCCTAGGAGGATTAAGAAAATAACATTGGAGCTGGACCTAAGAGATCTTTACAAAAATGGAAGTGAGAAAAGGACATTCCAGGCCAAGAGAATAGTATAAATCAAGACACAGAGGTATTTTAAAAAATTGCACAAATTGCTGAGGGAACTACAAATAGTTTGTGGTAGTCACAGCCTAGTATAAATACACAGGTAACATTTTAATAAGGGCCTTGTGAACATCTTAAACTTTATTTACTAGTTAAGACTTCCAACTGTACTAGAGAACTAGGAACACAAGAAAAGTCATGAAACTTAAAAATTGCTAACTTCTTGTAAGGTTGATGGAAAAAAAAGATGAAAACTACAAGAAAATGGGGTTTTTATTCAAATTACTTGTGATGTCCTTTATCTATAACTAAGGTATTATACAGACTTTATAGCAATCTCAGAGATCTTATAAAAGCCAAATTGCTCACTTTTTGAAAGTACATGCACGTAAGAACTGTGTACCATTGTTTACAAAGAAACAGTGATTTACGAAATGCTTTCTTGGTGTACCAAAATACTCGGCCTTAAATCACTTTTAGTTTGTTTTGGTGCTACTGATTAGCACTAGACACTCAAAGAAAATATTACATGACTATAAAGTGCTATCATTGGGCAAATCTCAAAAATCTCAACTTATATTCTCATTAAAGATAAATCAGTGTTTTAATCATTTTTACTTTATATAAAACATATAAGGCATAGCAATACAAATAGAGAGTGAGTTACTCTTAAAGAATTGTTACTCTTAACAATCTAAAGGAAGTACTTCATGTATCCCTGGAGTTTTCAACTGATTGCATTCAGTTGAGGTTTGTATGTCTACTCTAAGTGGATATATAAACATATTTATATATATTTATATATTTATAGATATATAAATGTTTATTTATATAAATAAACATTTGTATATCCAGTAATATCTTTTACATTGGATCTCATATAAGTGAGCTGGTAGGAAGTCTTCACTAAGCTTAGAGAGGAGCCAATTTTCTTAGTACCATACAGAAACACCTCTTAAGAGTTGGTTTAAGGCAAAAAGTAGAGAAAATTACAGGTACAATCACTATAAAACTTAAAGTGAATTTACAGAATATGGTACATTGAGCCTGACTAAATTAAGGCAGGGCTTCAGGTTAACACTTTTCAGCTTAAGAAGCAACTGCCCTGAAACTCATTTTAGGATTCACTTTCTGCCTTCACCAAAAAGGCACTTTCAGCAAAAGAAAGACCTGGTTAGACCTATATTAAATATCTTTGCTCCATAGGCTCTTAAGATAGTTTTAGCATTAGTACCTCTACTAAAAAATACGTATGTCATATCAAAACTTTAATGCTTTTCATCAAAAATCACTGCACTGCAAATTAGTCATATATAGTAGATTAAGAGATGTCCCAGAAAATAAATAACATAGGGGTTGAATTTTTTTTTTAATTTTAATGCATTGGGCTCCAAGCTTTTCATTTGAAATCCTATGCAGCATCATGGTAGAAAATTACATAAAAATGTAACCATTCTTAAAAGCCTGGAATATCTTTTATTCAAATAACAGAATAAAGGGAAAGTTCAATGCCAGAGCTGATCCCAAGAATCTCTTTTGTCAGTAGCTATGGGTTAAAAGCATGGAGAACACTGGAGTTATAAGCCAAGAAGGATGGGATACTTCATGTAATTTTCAGCTACTGAGATCATACATATTTGTTCATTCATTCATTCTAGAAATATTTATTCATAACCAACTTTGTGCTAGACACTTTCTAGGATTTGGTATGATAGAGCAATAAATATTTGTGGAAAATGGGTGATTAAAGGGACTATACCCAAGAAATAGAAGTTAAGGGAAACAAAAGAATGTTAAGCACCTGGGTGCTAACAACAGTGATGCTCCATTACCAACCACCTCTAGATCTGAAGGGCAAAGAGCAGGAGTGGTACGTGGACCAGAGGGGATTGATAACTATGGGAATGGGCTACCTAATAGAAGCTGTAGCCCTCAATGATATAGCCATCACCAAACTGCAGCCCAGCAGGGAAGTAGCAAGGGGAATAAAAACCCTACTTTCTCTCTCTCCTACCCTCTAATCTCTTGTGGACCACTCCCAATGGCTGAACCTAACCAGAACCCAGAGTGATGGGAACCTGGTTGAAATAGTCCATAGAGGTCAGCCTTCTGGGCATGCCACAGGATCGAAAATGATGATGTGATCAGAGAGGCAACAAAAAAATAAATCCCTGTCTTTGTACAGTTTATATTCTAGAATGTAATAATGCACTTAACACTGTACTTCGCATAGATTGAAGGGTTTGATAATTTTAGCTATTGGTGGTATTATTTGCAGCACTAATATTACTTAAAGAAGATTTTTAAGACTTTTCTAATAAATAAATTTCTGGTTTTACTTTGTACATCTGGTAGAGAGATATTTTCCCTTAACCACTCCCTAATTTTTTTTTAATCTGGTAGAAAATATATATAACATAAAAATGTATGATTTTAACCATTTTTAAGTATAGTTCAGTAGTTTTCAGAATATTCACATTGTTGTGACCTAGGATTTTAAGTATTTATGAAGCAGATATCTTTGGAAAGACCTCTTTCTCATTGAGAAGTTACATTATCTCAGAATTTTCTTTTAAGGGAAATTTGAAGCATTCCTTTTCCCAACTCTGACCTAAATCATGGCATATGACAAGTGAGACTTCTGAGGCCAAATCAAACCTATCAAATGGATCTTATAGAAATATGCTTTTCTCTACACTAAGGGAAGTTTGCAGGGCAAGTCCTGTGGTCAGTCTCTTGTACCATCTATATGATAGTTAAGGCAATGAAAATTGCCTTAGATATAAATGTTTAACCCAAATCATTATAGACATTGGAACCATTTTTGAATTATTTAATTACATCTTCTAGATTTTTATTATTAAAAAGTGAACTAATATGTTTCAGAACTATTTTCAAGAGAAATAATTGAAAATATTTTTCTGGCTTATATTTATTAAATCAAAAAGTTTAGTTATTAAGTACTATATTTCTTAAACATCAGAACTTCAGTAAATGAACAACATGCTAGTTTTTCATAATTGTCTTTCATAAAATCACATTGCATGGCATTTTTTTTTTCTTATGGACACTCAAATCACATACAGGTATTAAGAAAATTCACATGATTTAAGTTAGACACAATAGTAGCAAATGTAAGTGACAGTTCTTCAAAAGGAAAACAGGACATCATGAAAGACATCTAATGGTCACTACCTTAATCAAGTTAAATCCTATTTGGTGTAAATGCATCTGTTTGTGGATAGTTTTTATTTACATTGGACCAAAATGAGTGAGAGTATTAGATTTTCCTTTTATGGTTTGTTTCTAAAAATATTACATCTCCTGCAGACTTTTCCTTTGCAACAGCAAATCAATTCTTTCTTCCATGTTTGTATTTCCAGCCGACTCAAACAGTAATGCCAGGACAAGTCATGCGGGTTACAACAGGTGCTCCAATCCCCTGCGGTGCTGATGCAGTAGTACAAGTAGAAGACACCGAACTAATCAGGGAATCTGATGATGTACGTCATCACCAGGTCTTACGGCTTTGTTCCTATGGCAGTGTTATAAATGCTCATTTTCTGCAATGTTTATAAGATTAATCCAGGGTTTTTTGGTAATGTTAACATCTTACATTGTAATGTACAGATCTCCAGTAAATAGGAATTGCCTTAGATTTGAAAATCTTTTGGTACAAGAAATGTTTTTACGATCATTACCATGATTATGACAGAATTTGAGCCATATTTGATCCAAGAAATTTCACATGCAAACAAAGAAAGAAACTACCTCCAAATAGAAGAACAAAATTATTAATTGTTGACATACCTTATAGCTAAGAAATTTGTTCATCAACATTAGCTTTGGGGCACCTGGGTGGCTTACTTGGTTAAGTGTCGAACTCTTGATATTGGCTCAGGTCATGGTCTCATGGTTGGTGAGATCAAGCCCCACATCGGGCTCTGTGCTGTCAGATTCTTGGGATTCTCTTTCCCTTTCTCCTCTGCTTGAGCACTCGCTCTAACTCTCTCTCCCTCTCTCTCTCAAAATAAACAAACATTAAAAAAAAAAAAAGGACTAGCTTCTAGGGGAAAAAAAGACTAGCTTTTGATAAAATGTGAAGGAGAATTTAATGAAAAAGAATTTAACAGAAATTCCTCAACATTACACTAAGCCAAGCATTTAAACCAAATAACCTGTCAGCTCTGGTTTTCTATAATTCAGAAAAACCTCTGTCATCAAAAGATAGCCTAGAAATATTAAATACATGTCTATATGTCAGTGCCCCCTCTATTGCCTACAATAAAGGTCTCTGGGAATTTTTTCTTTGTTTTTTTTTTCTTTTGTTGTTTTTTCGTTTTTGTTTTTGTTTTTTGTTTTTTGTGGGGTTTTTTTTGGTCTAAGCAGGCCTTCATTTCACTGAAACTAGCAGCAATTATTGGAACCAGAGGATCAGCCACTAATAAAAGAATAGTTTCAACTGAGGTTTTAATGATTGGCTATCTTAACTTGTTTTTTGAAGAAGTTTAAGATATTTTATATCTTAAAAGGTAGAGCTAAAAATAAATAATATTCTTCTGGGCTGGGTATATAGAAAAATTTGGACATGCTGAGAGATAAACACTTTTCTTGATCTGGGATTTTCTTCTTAATTACTTTCCCACATAAAAGGTTTATAAAATTCAACTCTTGGCATGCAGATCACATTACTTGCTATTAAAACTGTCCAGCAGATTTATTGGCATCAAAGAAGCCAGCAGAGCATTGAAATCCAGAACACACACATCCACAGACTCTGCCACATGACAAGACACAATTCCAGCGTCACAATATTATCCACGGCCCATTAATGTAAAATTAATGATCACCATTAATTTACAGAAACCTACTGCCAGGCAAACTGCAAGCCCTTCACCGAAATTTCTATAGATATTTGGAAAACTTGGCCTAGTATTGAACCTATGATTCATGGGAACAGAAGAGACCGGTTATTTCCATGAGCGTTCACTGTATCTATTAGGTAGCCATATAGGTGTATCTTTTGTTTTCCCTTGAGAACACTGCTTACAATGTAAGATCCAATATTTGAATTGGTATATTTTTCAAAAGCATGAAAATTATGGGGGGAAAGTCTTTATTTATTTATACCTTGGCATCAAACCTAATTTTTTAGGAATGTGTGGTAGAGGGGCGCCTGGGTGGCTTAGTCAGTTAAGCGTCCGACTTTCGCTTAGGTCATGATCTCGCGGTTTGTGGGTTCGAGCCCCACATCGGGCTCTGTGCTGACTGCCAGCTCAGAGCCTGGAGCCTATTTCAGAGTTTGTATCTCCCTCTCTCTCTGACCCTCCCCTGCTCACGCTGTCTCTCTCTCTCTCTCCTAGAAATAAATAAAAATATTAAACAAAAAAAAGAAAGGAATGTGTGGTAGAAATTCATCATGTTCAAAATGTTTAGCAAAAAGTTCTCTGTTTCTTTATCTCTGTATATATTCTGGACCTATCTGATGATAAAAACATCTGGTTAGCTAAATTGTGTTGATCAAACAATCCATTAGATTGTTCTGTTTGAAGTTACATGACTTGTTCTTATTATAGGGGACTGAGGAACTTGAAGTACGAATTCTGGTGCAAGCCCGGCCAGGCCAAGATATCAGGTAAGTTCATAACATACAGAATGCACAGCCAACTTTTGTTTCTACATGATCATGAACTTAAAAGAGGATGGCTATTATAAATTTGCAGCTCAGTCAATTAGCCATTAGTGTTCAGGACTTTTAACAAGTAGTAAAATGAATTTTCTTAATTCTACATCTCATGTCTGCTCTGCCTGCTTTTTCATAAACGTGGTAAAGGCAAATGAAATAGTCAAAAGCAACATGTGAAAGAAGTAAAGTCATGAGCCCACTTAATCCACAGTTAATCCTACTCCTAGATAACCCAGAGTTACCTAACTCTACCCCTAAATAATCCAGAATATGGTATCAACACAGGTAATCCCAGAACTAAGTTTTTATGCAATTAGATGATAGCCCCTCCTCTACTGACTATCAATAATAATTTGCTACTGTTTATATACAAAGATGAGATTACTGTTTTACCATAAATAGTGCATATACTTTATTTTTCTTACACTGGAATATGTTTGCCCTGATCCCGTCAATATAATTTGCTGAAATGTCTTTATAACAAAGCTACAATTTTCACATCCCTCTGGCAGGAAGCCAAGTTGAATGGACTTCTGCAGGCACAGATCTAGGTCAGCCTAAGTTGTCCAAATAGAAATGATCTCAGTGGTAACCTCATTAGTGTTATTCTTCTCACCTTAAAGTTAACAAACTATGGACCTCTTATTAATGCCACTAGATATTTTCATATAAATTCTTACATCAAAAAAAGTCTGCAATTGGTGTTTTTGGCTGTAATGTGGTACAAAGCAATTTGTAAAATAGTTTTCAAATGTGAAGTAACATATTCCTTTTTAGCAGTAATAGATAGAACTCCTATTTCTCTCTTCTATTGTGTGATTTAAATTTTTTATTAAAAAAGCATTGAATTTTTAGAAGCTTTTTATTTTATTGTTCTGTTCTTACCTCATCTCTTGACTTTTTTCTCCTCTTGAGTGTGTCCTCCTTCTCTGACACTAAAGTTAGTTGAAAAAAAATATTATTCTCAGTCATACTGCTTATGGTTCTGCTTTGACTTTCAGACCCATCGGCCATGACATTAAAAGAGGAGAATGCGTTTTGGCCAAAGGAACCCATATGGGCCCCTCAGAAATTGGTCTTCTGGCAACTGTAGGTGTCACAGAGGTTGAAGTTAATAAGTTTCCAGTTGTTGCAGTCATGTCAACAGGGAATGAGGTAAAAAATAAAAAAGAGAGGGGCGAAGGGGGGTAGGTGAAAAGGTAATTAGACCTTCAGACAAAAATATTTTTGACCTCTGTCTGTGTTGTAAATAGAACATTGTGGATTATAGATTTTGCCACATTCCTATATAATAGGGAAATAAATTAGCCTTAGAATAGTTCAAGAAGAAGGAGGAAGAAATTACATACTGAGAAATGCTCCCTTCCATTTATTAGAATGAAATATTACAACCAATGGCTTTTCTATACACTCAGTACGTATAAGCAAAGGATATTGGCTGCTACCTATAGATATTCAACTGTGAAAATTTAGCGCTCAGTCTATTAGGACAATAAATTGTGTCTACCCACCTGCTGAGGTGAAGGGTCACCTCTATGTGGGAAATAACCAATGAATTGGGACACAGTGGTTAGATCTTCTTGCTGGAAGTTCCATGTGATTCTTAGTCACCAGCAAAGACTTGATAACCTATTTTTTCTTTTTTTTCTAAAGATAGCTTCTCTAGTAGCATGCTTCTCAGAATATGTCAAATGTCATTTCAGCCCTGATTTAGGATAGGGAATTTAGCCAGTCTTTCTCTGACAACTCTTGAAAAATTGCCTGTTCCATGTTTTTCTTTGGTTATACAAAAATTCAGTTGGAGGATCTAATGAAACTGGGACTATTGAAAACTGGGTGTGCTAGGGGCGCCTGGGTGGCTTAGTCAGTTAAGCGTCCGACTTTCGCTTAGGTCATGATCTCGCAGTTCGTGGGTTCAGGCCCCGCGTCGGGCTCTGTGCTGACTGCCAGCTCAGAGCCTGGAGCCTGTTTCAGTCTGTGACTCCCTCTCTCTCTGACCCTCCCCTGCTCATGCTGTCTCTCTCTCTCTCTTCTAGAAATAAATTAAAAAAAAAAAAAAACATTAGAAAAAGAAAAGAAAAAAGAAAAATGGGTGTGCTAGTAATTCAAAGCCTAAGAGCAGATCAAAAACTACAGAGATTTATTTAGACTTTACACCTTATTATTTTCAAAAAGATAGGATTATCTATCAAAATATAGGAAATAGGAAAAAATAGGAAATCTATATTTTGAAATTAACAGGATTTCTTTTCTCTCTCTTTTAACCCCCTAATTTTATTCTGAAAATAAGCCATTTATTTGTAACATTGTTTTTAATTTCTTAAAGTCTTAGGAATGAACATTTTTCAAAGGTCTCTCCATTACCCTTATAGCTCTTTTGGACAGGGCAAAAGAAAGGAATAAAAGATTTGTTTTGCTAATGGACAGATGAACCAGTATTCTAGACCCTGTATAGATGCACTGGTCATTCCCTAAAATTATTGATTGACCCAAAACAAACATTCTTTTTTTATTTATTTATTTATATTTAGAGAGAGAGCAAGTGAGGGAGGGACAGAGAGAGGGAGAGAGAGAATCCCAAGCAGGCTCCACGCTGTCAGCATGAAACCTAATGCAGGGCTCGATCTCACAAACCTTGAGTTCATGACCTGAGCCAAAGTCAAGAATCAGATGCTTAACCGACTGAGCCACTCAGGCACCCCCCCAAAACAAACATTCTTTTCAATTGGTATACATAGTGATGTTTTTAATATCCCTAGGACTGACACTTGTGGTTAGCATCAGACAGAAATTTCTGTTAAAGTGGTTTATTTAATGAACTATTCTTATTTGTGATTATTTATATCCTTTGTGCATCTCACTGAGCTCAGGGGGCTTGGGAAAGCTAAAGATAATGAGCAAATTCATAAGTAGTTATTACATAACTTTGTTTAACCTGTATTTCTTGTATTCTTCCTAATGTTTTTATAGGACTGGGGTATATTCTCAATTATCCCCTAGAGTACATTGGTAGTACTTTTTTAAAAAATGTACTATTGTACATTCTATATTAAAACTATTTACTAGTGATAAAGAAAAGTGATGGGGTAGAATAGAGATGATACTTAGATCATGGAATCTAAGGAAGAATTTGTAGTCCTAGCTCCCTGCCTCCATAGGCTTGATTATCTTTGGAGAGGCTTTGATAGGTACTGTATGACTCTGTTCCCCTACTTTCTCTGGCCTGCTGTACTTACTATGGTTTTCCAAGGGAATAATGCATCTAAATTCTCTATAGCTTCACATTCTTTCCCTAGTTCCATCCAAGGTGAGCCGTTCTTGTGACTCTCTATGATTGTATAATTTATTTCAACAAATGTTTATTGGTTACCTCTATACCAATATACCAATATCTAAACTGGGGATAAAAGAGATGAATAAAGCATAGTATCTCTTCTGGAGGCTTGAGGTCTTTGATAGACAGAAATAATGAGAAGAAATATAAATTTCAGAGAGGTTGAAAGAAATTACACTTGTCTATTAATGTGGCAAGTCTATAGCTTAATCAGTCACAGTACATGCTTCCCTTAAGTACTAACTGATTTCCACTGATATGTGTGGCTTCACATATGTCCACTTTTTAATCCAGTGTGGTTTATTGGTAAGCAGAACAGTGGCCTGAGGCAACCCAAAGAATGCCATATAAGATGTCTGTCTTTAAAACCTGCCCAGTATTTTATGAATTCATGTGTTCGGGATAAGGGAATTATTTCAAAATTGAAGAGGTACAGTCATTTTTTTTTTATTATTTCTGAGAGAGAGAGACAGCGTGAGCAGGGGAGGGTCAGAGAGAGAGGGGGACACAGAATCTGAAGCAGCCTCCAGGCTCTGACCTAGCTGTCAGCACAGAGCCCAACATGCGGGGCTCTCAACCCACAATCAGTGAGATCATGAACTGAGCTGAAATCGAACACTGAGCCACCCAGGTGCCCCGAAGAGGTACAGTTATGAACTATAAATAATACAGAACAGCCAATGTAAACATTTGTTGGTTTCAACAAATTATGTATGTTAACATTTAGGTGATACCATCCAGTAATTATGTAATTGTGAAATACACTTCCAGCCTCATGCATTCGTTCAATAAATATTCATTAGACATCTATTACATGCTGGAATGACCATCAGGGATCATCTTAACTAAACATCAGACTTCTATAAGATGTGAATACACTGTATTATGAACCAGTTTATTTAAAAGGATTTTGAACAGGAAGCTCAGTGTCCAGTAGGGCTGCATCAGATTTTCATCTTTGGTGGAACTAGTCCTCTTAACCGTCTACACAGCCTTTCAAGAGCTATTATCTTTTTTCAAGTGACATTCAGGTACAAGGGAACAAGAATTATGCCAAGAGAGTATGGGAGCTACCAACGTAGAAGCATATCCTACATAGGAATAGGAATCAATATATCTTTTTTTTTTTTTAAATAGTTTACTGTCAAATTAGTTTCCACATAACACTCAGTGCTCATCCCCACAAGTGTCCTCCTCTATGCCCATCCCTCCTCCCCCCCACATCCATCAGTCCTCAGTTTTTGTCAGCATTCAAGAGTCTCTCATGGTTTGCCTCTCTCCCTTTCCCCCACCATTTTCCCCCTTCTTCTCCCCCATAGCCCTCAGTTAAGTTCCTCCTATACGTGCAAACATATGATATTTGTCCTTCTCTGCCTGACTTATTTCGCTCAGCATAACACCCTCAAGGTCCATCCATGTTGCTACACATGGCCAGATTTCATTGTTTCTCATTGCCATGTAGTAGGAATCAATATGTCTTATAACAGTGTTAGGCAGCTACCAGGGTCCCTACAATGGAAATGTCTGGATACAAGTGTCACCACATTCACAAAAGCTCAAAGCTGTGGCTTTCCACTAGGGATTTATAATTCATTTATAGTTCCTTCTAGTCCATATCCATGTTACCAATCAGAGATTATTTTTGCCATAAGAATTGCTGCCTAGTAACAAGCTGATATTTCATCTTTATCAAGTTTCCAGGAGAACAGAGCTAGAAAGTTAACCCAAGGTCAAATTTGTCCTTAGAAATGGAAAAAGTTTGTTAATTCTTTACCCTCACATAAGAGGATGCATTGTCTGTAGCAAATTAGAAAATAATAATAAAACTGACTACAAATAATTCTGCCTTTTATTATCACCATGCACTAGCAATTCTAAGCAATGTCAGTGGCAAAATATTATTCTCCACTGGAGCGAACCATTTCCACTATCCCTCCTTATTTAATATACTACCATACTGATGCCAGGCACTGTTCTGACTGCTCAGGATATAGCAGCAAACAAGACAGACAAATTTCCTGTTCTTACAAAATTTATATTCTGATGGAGGTGGGGTAGAGGGAGATAGTCAATGAACAAATAATCATCAATGATATAAAGAAAAATAAAGAAGGGTAAGATGATAGAGACTGGTAGTAGAGGAGGTATATGCCACATATTATCTGTTGAAACCTACCCTACATCAGCCATTTCATACTCTCCCCTATACAATAAGGCTAGAAGCCTGAAAACCCAATTTCCTGGACTCTCTTTCCAGCTGTGGACCTATTGGTTTTGGCTTTGGGATGTATTAACACAATATTAGAAGGTGGAAGGAAGTTAGCAGAAGTATAAGTGCCCCAACCCTCAGTAACATCACTTTCTCCTAATAGCCCTAGAGACAATGGTGACTTCCTGCAGTTACTGATCTTTGAAAACACACTTTTTTCCTTTCTCCAACCCTCCCAACACATTTTTACCCAATTCTCTGTATTAAATCCTTTCTTCCCCCACTCCCCTGAATTTGAAATACCTAGAGGAGTTGGATTTCCTTTCCAGAACTGACTGACTGACAGTCTTCTATTTAATATGGGGTAATCAGGTCTTACTGATGAGGCAAAATTAGGCTGGAAATCTGAAGGTATTAAGGGTGTGTGCCATAAGGGGAATTGAGTTCCAAGCAGAGGGAACAACAGAAAGAAAGGTTCTGAGATAGGGTGTATGCTTGTCATGTTTGAGGAACAGCAAGGAGGACAGCAAGGCTGAAGTATGGAGGCAAAGGAGCAAAGTAAAAAGAGATGAGGTTGGAGAGATAATAGAAATTAAGACCATTTAATTCTAA